AACGCCCCATGAGGGCGTCCAGGAGAGCAATTTTCCTCCATCCAAGTGGCGGCGCTTTATCTTTGATTGGTTGGATTGGTTGGATAACAGTGTCAAATTTCTTAGAAGAGTTCAACGTTTTAAGTGAAGTGCAAGGCGGTTTTAGAGAAGATATGTGAAGATCATATCTTCACCCTTAAAAGCATCATTAGCACACGACAATCAGAAGACAAAAAAAAAAAACATTTCTTGCATCTTTAGATTTAAAAAAAGCATTTGACACTGTCTGGAGAGAAGGGTTATTCTCAGCTGTTAGTAATAAACAGTTAAAGGGTTAAAGGAAATTTACTCCAAATTATTAAGAATTTGTACGAAAACGTTCAAGGTAAAGTTATTTTTCAAGATATAGAAACTAAATTCTTCAATATTGGAAGGAGTCAAACAGGGCTGTTCACTCTTACCTATTTTGTTTTCAATTTCATCAATGAATTACAAAAAATTATAACAAACAGTAACACTTGGAGTTACATATTTAATGTTAAAATTGGAGCCTTATTTTGGGCTGATGATGTAGTGTTAGTCGGTGAAGACGAAAGAGATCTAAATCTCCTCCTTAAAGCAGCAAGTCACTTTTCAAGTAAATGGAAACTGGATTTTAATTACAATGTAAATCCAATGTTCTTATTACAGGACAACGTGTAAATAAATATAGAAAATGGAAATTTTCTAATTTGATATACAGTATTTAAATTTTACATATTTTACCAGCCTGTTAGTGGCAATGATTCGCTGTTGGTCTGATGAAATGAAATAAAAATAAAAAAATAAAATAAAAATTAGGTAACAATTTTATTACAGAGACTGACTGCTATAAATATCTTGTAATTTATATCTCTAACACTAACACCGACTCACGACACATAGAAGAGGTTATAAGAAAAGGTATTATAATAGGATAATAGCATATATAAAAGCAATTATCTATAATCAGGACAACTTTAACAGAGTTTATTTTGGTTTACCTACCATCAATTATGGTTGCTCTGTTTGGCTTAGTGCTTGTAAATCCTCAACCGACAAAATTGAAAACCTTCAATATGAAATGGCAAGGATAATTCTAAGAGCACTTAGATATGTAGCTAAAGAAGCATTATACGGAGATCTAGGATGGTACACAATTGCCAGTATACAATAATTTTAAAATTAAATATTTCAACTGGTTGGAAAATTTAGACGATGACAGGTGGCCCCGATTCTTGAAAGCAATTATGCATAATGAAGATAAAATGAAATGGGAATGGTTAAATTTCATTAAGCAGATTCTTTCGAAGCATGACTTAAACCATGAATTTTGTTTAAATCAATCAATTTACCTTTCATCTGATTTTAAATGAAACTCATAAATTGTACAAATGATGATAATGAATGGTTTGAAAAGCTTGTAAAATCAACTTTAAATGAATATCTCAGACATAAAAACATACCTTTTTTTGAAACATATCTATAATGATAAAACTGACTTCAAAGGAATCAGTCTTAAGTTTAAAGCAAGGTCTAATTGTTTAGCTTTAGAAGGTAGGAAAAGTACATGGTATGATGGGTGCACAGGTTTTTGCAAATTATGTAACTGTAACTCTGTGGAAAATAGAGCACTTTTTATTAGAATGCCCACAATTTTATAATATTAGGGCTAAGACCTTCCATGAAATTAAAATTACTCTATTTAAAAATAATTTACATGAATATTGGGAAACTTTCTCCAATGGTTCACCAGATGATCTTTTCTCAACAAATCATTTATTTAAAGTTATTTTGGTAGTTAATCCTATTAAACAATGTATGCACAAATAACTTTGAAAGGCAATTATTCAAAATCATGTCTATGTTGACTCTAACAGTGCTGTACGTTCACTTTCCAATAACTTAATCTTGAAATGTCCAATTTCAATGAATGACCCCTCATTTTAAAGATCACATACTCACATAAAAATACCAATAACTTTAGAATTTTTGCCACAAAATGCCTCAATTATTAATTATTAAAAACTCTGATTCGTTTGTTTTCATTAGTTTCTCCACTCCATGAAATAATTTTCTTCCATTCTAGAGAAGGTGGACGTTCCATCAAATTTAATGCAAACTACGCGAAGAGCTCATTCTTCTGCTATTTATGTTCTTGGAATCAGCAGATAGCGTGGCATCGTGTACTGCTCGCGTCACAGGGAGTGAAGTTGGATTCGTGGTACGACGCAGATGGCGCCTTGCTTTACAGAATATACACACGATTTTGTTACGATAAATCATTTGTTTTATTCTAATGAACAATAACACAGTAAACATTTTAAAAATTGCACCTAATTTGTTTTTAATTGATTTTTGATCCACTCAATATTATCTACTTAATTATTCACAAATCATTTCATTTGCTTTTCAAAGTTATCATATAATATGCAGTGGCAGATTCGAGAGGGGTGGGGTAAGTAAAAAGAATTATTCAAATTTAATAAGTCTGAAACGAATCAGGTGCCATAATCATAAACTGACTTGGTCTAGAATCTCCAAATGTAAAACTCCCTCCATAGGACCCCTTATTTCGAATTCCTGGATCCACCACTGAAGAGGAATTTTGTATGAACAAAATAGCATTTCTCTCAAATCTGAACATCGCTATAAGACAGAGTAATCACCATTACATTAATCTGTTTTACACTCTGAAAGGTTGAATTTTATACTCAACATGGCTGGTTGTTAACCAATCAAATCATCTCTTAGATTTTATACTCAGATTGTGCACAAATTTATTCCATTCAAATTCTTTCAATTCAATTGTTTATTTTTCGGTAAAATATGATGTTACTAAATCTGCAAATAATATTTGCAACATTTATTCAAGTGAATATATCTAGTTTAAATAGAGATACTGTAAATGTGAAAAGACCACAAAAAATAATTCTTATTCACATAAAATTACGTAAATAAAAAACATCCTGAAGATAAACAAATAAACAATGAAATATGAAATAAATGTGACTTGCATGTGGTTCTTTGTTTATTTATTTATTTATTCAACTTCAGAGCAAACTTAAACCAGTTTTTTAAGAGATAATCCCTTCACAAGACAAACATACACACAGTATGCTCTAGCCTCTACCTTCTGTAGCCTCTTGTCTAGCTTAGGGAGTGAAGTTAATTATGGTCATGTTACTAATACAGGAATTGAACCCAGTATCCTGGTATTTGAAGGCAAGCATCTAAAACCGGCAAGCTATTCTACAATTCAGGGTTCATCTTATAATTTTGTCCGAATAATCTAAGGACACCATGATTATTAAGAGATCATGTTTTATGGACTATGCAATTTACTGTGCATTAACAGCTTTAGAAATTTAGAGCACTGCTTCTTACAATGAGGTTATGTGTTATCTCTCCCAATAAATAACAAGACTCGTTGCCAAAAAAAAAAAAAAAAGATTTACTGCTCGTGATATGTCATATGTACGTATAAGATACTGTACTTTATACATTTGGTTATTTGGTTATATATACATAAGAAATTACACTGAAGTACTTATACTTATTTATTCAACCTGCTGTACTTATTTTTACAAATTAGGTTCCTTAACATTCAAAATTCAGCAACAGTTTAGACAGACTGATATTTATGAATTAAATCTCATTATTTTTTTCTCCCAAATATCCCCACTTCCCTCCCCCCTCCCCCACCAAAAACATACAAGCACCAGTTCTATGGTATTCTGGTACATTGCACCTTTCCTGTCGACCATTAATAATTATAAATAACTATAAATAATTATTAATAATTATACATAATTGTGATAGGAACAGTCCAGAACAGGATCAAATAAACTTATAATTTAAGATAAAAATACAAGCAATAAAAAAAAAATTATTATTAACATTAATTTAATACACAATAGAATAATACATTTTAACACTTGTATAATAGTACCTGTTAAAACTGGCACTTTTGATAAACGTTAATGAAAACATCACAATAACTTGTATTTTAAAAGAAACAACCTATCAGGTCATTCATGTATTTATCCTTGGGTTTTTAAAGAAAAAAAATATATTTTTATTATTATTATTATTATTTATAGACAATTATCAAGCACTCTTATCAATTCCCCACAGGAAAATCGAGCATTCCAAGAAAACAATCATTTCATGTGGCCAACTGTGTGATCTAACTACCCTTAATCTCATTGCATGGCGCACTCGTACACCTGCTGCCCCCAAATAAAGATTTCAGAAAAAAAAAAATTTTCTTTATTTTTATTATTCCTGCCACTTCCTTGAAATCTTCAATAATAAGATGTGTATATTTCTTCCTATTTATATAAATCTAAAGCTTTTAACAAACACTGGGATCACATTATTACACTGTCTGTATTCACCAATAAAATTTTATTTTAATTTTTTCCTCTGCGTGGATATTTTTTTTTTTTAACTATTTGCTAAATAAGAAAACAAATTTTATTTTCATTTTCTTTCCACCCTCCTCTGACGATCTTAAATAAGTTCGCGAAACATGGTATTAAAAAAGCCTTGCCTTATGATAATTAATAGAAATAGTTGAGGCTGGCTACTACAAATCAGCGTTGATAATATTAAGCACACGTCCTTATATGCTGTACAGCCCATGTTATCCACCTTGCCCTTTGACCAGTGCTATTAAACTATCTACTACATCACAGTGTATTAACCAACAAATAAATACTCTATTCAACATTTATTTTTTATTGAAGATGCAGGTATAGTATTAAAAAATTTGAACTTTACCATTCATATGCAACATTTTTGCAAATATATGTTAACTTGCCATAGTTTATATTTTACAGCTAGTAAAAGATCTTTTTTATATGGTGCTAGCTCGGGGATGATGTTAATTGAGTCGGTTCTTTTTACTACAGGTACCCATATTATAGCTCAGCAAATTTTCACTGAGGGAGGGACACCTGATGGGGGGGGGGGGGGGGGGGGGGGGGGCGGTGGTTTAATCAAACAATGTCATACATGTCAGAGCAAACACTGACAAATATATCTGACTAAACATTGTCGAAGATATGATAAAACACTGTCTCTGTGTCTGATCAATGACAGGCATGTCTGACTAAACACTGACAAATGTTTGAACAAACATTATCAGACATCAGACCAAGCACTGTCAGACACGTCAGAACAAACAGACAGATATATCTGACCAGACACTGTCAGACATGTCTGACTCAACTTTCTATACCCCATGCTATGTTAGTTTCAGACATAAACTTTTAGTCTAATTCAAGATCACTATCATTGCCATCCTTAGAACTGCATCGGATACTAGACGTTAACATTTCTTGTTCTTCTTTACTTGGCAATAAACTATGTCTGAAAGATATAATTGAATTATAACAAAATTACAATGTTGAAGCAATTTTGGGGTCCGCTTAACTCTTAGACCAATTCTTCACGACTCCAGTATTGTTCTCATCTTACACGAGTGTGATAAAAATCTTACTGCTAATCATTAGAAACCATAATTATCAATAATTAAATAACTTTTTTGATGTACTTTTGTGGCATATCATCTTCTATCTATAAACTTATATTGGTGGAATATTGGTATATGAATAAATCTTGATGTAAGTTGGGTGGGGGGGGGGGTGGTGTGGATTTGTGAATGCAAATAGATTGGGAACCACTCGTTTATAATTGTTTATCTATATAAATCTCACCTCATTCAATTATCTTTTTAATTAGCTGCTTGTATTTCTATTGTTTAGTGTTTTATTACATGACTTTGTGAACCACATACCAGCAATTGTAACTTTCTAGATACAATAGCAGAGGGGTATTAGACAAGTATTGTTATTCGCAATGTTGACAAGGAAGTCATAATTTAACACCATGACCAGTCTATCTTGTCCACACTACACAATTCCTCCTAGAAAACAACTGTTAAGACCACATTTAAACAGATCTCATGAAAGTGACTTTTTCTAAATTGGGAGCCTTGTGTAATCCTAAGCACAGTATGTACTGTACAAAACTGGTTTTATTTTAACCCAATAAATCTTTTGAGATGTGTAGGGGTTACTCTAGTGTACTGGTCTATACTAAGCTTCCTGTTATATTACCTGGCACCCACTTACCAGGAAGCTTTGAGATGAAATGTCCTTTAGGGGAGAAGGAAGATATTGTTCAAACTAGTTCACACCTTGAGTGCTTTGAGACTTTTAAGCACTATATCAATATTATTTTACTTTAACATAAATAGTACCCCAGAGCCTTGCTTTAAGTTATGTTGGTACATTCAGATAGTGGAAAAAATGTGTAATAAAAACAGGTTTACTTCAGTGTACTGACCTTGTATTGTATTGACCTCTTTAAATTTAATTTTTTTATTAAACTTAGTTATCTAGCAGTTAACTTCTCCTTATTACCTTTAATGATTTTATTAATTGGCACTTGGATACAAAATGTCTGGGATTTTATTATTAAATTTACTTTCTGTTTTAATTGTGTGAATGTTTATTACTTATCAGTGTTATAATCTCACATTGTTGCAAAAAATAATGTCTATTTATATAGATAGATGGGTGGATATTTATAGCGCTTATAAACAAGGTCTCTATGCGGTCGATAAAAGGTCAGAAGACAACAAAACTATGCTTAACTAAACTTGTAGAAATTTAGTATTTTAATTGCTTATACATATTCTATTATGAGACAAAATATCTTTGATTAAATATGAGCATGATGATGTCATATCACACCCATATATAGGCATGATGATATCATATCACACCTATAAAATACAGTATGATATCATATCACACCCATATATAGGCATGATGTTATATTATATCCATATGAGAATGATGGAAATCAAAAACTTTAGAGTATGGACAGATCTTACTGTCTGTGGAAAAACCATTAAAAACACAAATTTAATTAAATTTTAATTTCTCAACTTCTAATAAAATGAAGACGAAAACAATTGATCTCTGTTTAAATATAACTTATTTGATCTTTTTAACTGTTTATTGTTCAATACTTTTTTCTACGGATTCTCAAAAAGTACTTTGTGTGATGTTTGTAACTTGTAGTTATTGTCAGTTGGTGTTTACTACACCCCACCCCTCATCTCCCCAACCTGGTTCCCACGCATTGCCATTGGTAGAATGTGAAATTGCTACTTACTGAAATTGCTACTTACTGAAGGAATGCTTCCAAATTAACAGAGTAAAAATTTTCACCTAGTTCATCAGAATCCCAGACAAAATTATGGATAGCATTACCCACATCCCCCATCCACCGCACCTCCCCAGTCCCCTACACACTGCCAGTGGTAGAACATGAATTCGTTACTTACTGTTGAAGAAATGCTTCCAAATCAACTGAGTAAAAATCTTCACCTAGTTCATCAGAAACCCTGACAAAATTACCAATAACATTACCCCCTCTATAGATGAGAAGAGCTGGTAATGCACTAGTTGACTGCAATAAAAAAAAATATCATTCAGTATTACTTAAAGTTGTAAACTTTGATTCTCACCCACAGAACAAATTTTAACCTAGTTTGTCAGTATACTATGCACCTATCAGTAGCCTCGCCCAGGCGAGTTGAATGGCCGAGCGGTTAAGGGAGGCGCCGCTACCTATAGCCATAACATTCGGCGCTGGTTCGAACGGCACGCTCGCCTATGGTTCCGGAGGTGGAACAAGTCTTCTCGGATAAGGACTTTAAACCGTAGGCCCAGTGTACACATTTGGCTCGTGTGCACTTTAAAGATCCCAGTGCATCTTTCGAGAAGAGTAGGGGGTTACCCCGATGTACTGGTCCATTCATTCAGCCTCTCCTGCGTCCTAGCTGGTGCCAAACGTAGTGCACCCTTGCACTCCTTTGGACCCCACCAGTGATGGAAATAGAGGGGGATTCTGACGCATGGGCAACCCAGGATCTCCAAATTCACTGCCCAGGCACGCCATCGTTCATGGCGTATAGCATCGTCTTTCGAGACAGCTGGCCTATATAAATAGCCTATGTTTTAGTGCTTATATGATTAGATAGAGATATAGAAAGTGAGAGAATTGGTGAACTAATGTATGCTTATTCAGGTTATTAAATTAAAGGTTATTGAATAAATAACTGAAAACAATACTTTTGACTTGAGGAACCAGATACTTAAGGAAATGTAACATTTACCTTAAATCAAGAAAAGGAAAAGAAACGCATGCCTGTGAGTTTTCTTGGCAATCTGCCAACTTTTTCAGACTGCAAAGCAAGGTGCTAAACTGGACTGTCTTTATCTCAGCAACACTGGATTGCCTCGCCAGCCCTTTGAGATGTTTTCAACAAATAGTTCCGGGTGGTCTAAACCTTGATACCCAGCTAGAAGTCTGAAGAAGTTGGCAGCTTTACCAACAAAACACACCTCCCACTCTTTTCTTAGATCAACATAAAAGTAAAAATAGGCTCTGAATAGCTTCATGAGTATACTGCAAAAAATAGGTCAAAATCACTCTTATCAGACAAGGTGATGTCAGTCATTGGTCATCCGTCAACACAATGTACTTGGCTTGTGTGTTTCAAAATGAAACGCACTGAAATGAACATTAAACCTCCATTTTACACAAAAATGCACTTTCAATATTACACAAAAATTTTATTACCAGAGCACAGAATATAACTGCGCAGTATACCAAAAAAAAATTTAAAAAAATCTAGACAATAATACTTACAAAAGATTTGCTAACTTGAACCTTGTCCGCCCTTACTGTACAGAACTTAACTTTAGGATATTCTTTCGCTAAGCAATGAAAACACCCGTTCAGAGCATTACATGCTGCAATATTCTGAAAGAAAATTAAAAAAAAAAGAAATGCATATATTAATAATTAATTATTATTAATCACAACCAGGGTATGTAGTTATGGTGGGTGAAGGTGGGGGCAGGGCCACCTAACCTTGAATTTTGCCACCCAGTGTAAAGCTAATTTCATGGTTCTCCATTCACCTAATATAAACCCTCCTGCCCATGTTATCACCTACCCACCTTTAAAATGTCTACTACCTATGCCTTAGTTTTTTGTACAGCTACAATCCTGAAACATCATCATAATCATCGGCTGTTTTGATATGGGTACATTAGGATACTACCTATTTTAAGTAGTACAGCATCAAAAATATTATTGCTGCGAAGCAGCCAATTCATATTCTTGACAGCAATTTGACCTCTGAAAGGTCAATGTTTGTCAAAAAACAATCGCCTAAGACAACTGAAAAGCGGAGTTTCCTTCTTTCGTTCTGCCGGGTAAAATCAATTACTTTAGGCGACGTTTGTAGACTAACCTACTCGTAGCAACGTCCGCATGTCGCAACGCTGGAGTACTATTCAGCGTTTTTACTATATTTCTAGGTTTCCTATTTCTACGTTTAATCGGCTCATGTCTCAGCCACAATATTTTGAGGCCAATTTTATTTACGAACCCAGTTAAACTTATTTACTAGCCTATTTCAATGTGCTAATTATTACATTTAGGCAACGTTTGTTGTAGACTGGCATAGTGTTTTCAGAAATAAATACCATTTTATACACATGCGCAGATCGATTCGCCAGCAGCGAGTCATCGCCAGCAGCAGCGAGTCGCCAGCAGAGAGATGTCACTGCAGCAAAACATTATTGTACACGGTACCAACGCTGTTCTAATATAGACAATGGGTCGTGCTCATATTATTTGTTATATTTTTATTATTCATTATTTTCACTTGACTCGCATAAATAATTTTGTTCGAAAAACATTTTATGCAGTTGTACATCACAGCACTTCACTTGCAATTTGCAATTTCTAGTTTTATCAAATAATTTAATAGCATTATAGAACACTTCTTAAATATATTATGTTAATAAATGTGTTTATCTTATTCTGATTCCATGCCAATATCTTACAAAAACAAACATAGTAAGTTCTTAAAAACAATAAAAGAATGAAAGTATAATCTTCTTATTAAAACCATCAGGAAATAATCTATTCTTCAATTTGATGTAGAGCTGTACATTTCCAAAACAGAGAGAAAAACTATGTTAACTCGCATTAAATAAAATCATCAATATAAATTATTCATTAATATTAATAAGTGACATTTACGAAGCGCCCTACACCGGTATTAGCCGAATCCAAAGCGCATACAATCAATCATATTAAAACAATACAGTTAACATGTTAACAGTTTACATGCCATAACAACAGTAGAAATTCATCCTGAAATAAATTTTCATTAAACTATACCGATTAGTTCAGACCTTTTTATATTTTGTTTCGCAAACCCGCCACCCGCCAATATTGATTATTTCAAATAAAAATTAAATTTTATATTTGGACAATTATTACATACACTGCCACAAAAAATTGAAATTTCAGAAAAAAATAACATTTTTTCCTTATTTTTTATTATGCCCACCACTGCCTTGAAATCTCCAAAAATAAGATATATATTTCTTCCTCATTATATAAATTTAAAGCATTTTACCATCCCATTACTACACTGTTTACATTCACCAATAACATTTTACTTTTATATTCTCCTCTATCTTGAGATTTTTAGGCAAAACCATTTAACTTTTCTTCCGTTGAATTAAATTAGCATACTTTGCAATAACAAATTTTATTTTCATTTTTTTTCCCACCCTCCTCTGACCTCTGTCATAATATAAGTTCGCAAACAAGGTATAAAAAAGTATCTCGCCTTAATAATAAGTATATGGTGATGTAGAAAGCATTGAATTATAGATACATGTATAACAGGGGATTTCCATTAATGGATATATCAATGTAATACATAAACGTACGAGTGCAAGCCTTCTTATTCTCTTAAGTAACACAGTATGAAATCATGGACAAAACAGAAAGTAATTATATGTTGGATGTCCTAAAATGTACAGTTTCAATTTCGTGCACAAAGACCTTATATTATGTGGTATCCTAGGGCCCTAGCCATTTTTCATGCTAATAAAATATGATACCAATGGCTTAATATCCCATTCGTAGGATGAAGTAATTAGAGTATGCTAATTTTATTCAACGGAAGATAAGTGGCAGATTTTATAGCTAACTCTATTTATGTGCGGCAGCCATATTCATTGGCCTATTATAACCTGAATTTAGATTGCTAATATTGCTATTATCATTAATGCTATTATAATAATTAATATAGTAAGTAGTATATTACTAATATAATAGTTACTATATTATTAATATCATTATCACTACTATTTTTAATATCATCACCATTATAGAGTACTAATTATTAATTAATATAGTAAGTAGTATATTACTAATATAATAGTTACTATATTATTAATATCATTATCACTACTATTTTTAATATCATCACCATTATAGAGTACTAATTATTACTTAACAATAATTAAAAATAATTTTACTCATTTATATAATTATATTCATAGTAAAAATAAGTAATAAATAGTAATTAATAACAAATTAATAATTACTATGAATAATGATAATGAGGTCAGTACTTTTATTTTATTAATATTATCCTTATTTATTTCTTATTTTATTTCTTTTGGCAAGTTATACAATACGAAATGAAAATACAATGACATAAAAAATCAGACACAGTTATTATTTATTACGCTATTAGTATTATAATTACTGCTATTAAATTTGTATTCCACTAAATATTATCACTATTTAATAATACTATGATTATTGTGAAAGTTGTATTGTCCCATTCAAAATAATAAAAAAAAAAAAATCAAATCACAAAAATAATTTTTGAGAAATTAATTTGCCCATTTTGAAATAACATAAAAATTATCAACTTGAACATAGAAATTACACTGAAAAATGATAGAAACACTTTAAGTCACTGGAAGTGTTTTATTATTTCTATTATTATAATTATCCAGTTTAAAAATCAGGGTACACATTTTTTTAAATTCAATAATTTCTATGATGAAGTTAATAGATTGTATGTTGTTGCAAAATGGGCAAGTTTATTTCACAATTATTGTTTAAGATTTTTTTCAAGGGACTATACATCATATATTATTCTAATTAACTTAGACATAAATTACGTAAAATAACTTAATCTCAATGACTGTACAGCAATGCTGAGTGGATACTATTTGAGTTGTATGAAGGTTAAAAAATGATGCATTTAAATTTCAGTGGTATCAAGATTCATAACAAACACATTGTCCATTTTCATTAAAACAATGTCAATGTGTACATTAATTAAGTGCTAAGGTACTGTATTTTATCAACTCCTTCAAACGCATTACAATGGCCTGTGTTGTGATCTTAATTATAATGAGTTTGAAGAAGTGTTGATAGTATGTAAAATCAATTTCTTCAAAACCATAATGAGGTGTGTTATTATGATCCTAATGGGTTTGAAGAAGAGGCGCTTACAGTATGTTAAATCAACCTCATCAAAACCATTATAATGAGGTATGTTATTATGATCCCAATAATGTGTTTGAAGAAATGTTGTAGTATATTATTCACTTCTTCAAACCCATTATTAAGATTATCATCTAAATCATTGTGATCCTTATAATAGGTTTGAAGAAGAATTGTAGTACCTATAATGACTTCTTCAAACCCATTATTAGGACCATAACAACACAGGTCATTATCATTTCATTATACTCCACATAATGATAAATAACAGGTGACATTTTAGATTAGAGATATTTATCATCATATCCATCCCTACTACAGTACATATTTTTCTATAATCCATGTGACACAGCAGAAAGGCTTCGGGCCTACAATCAAGAAGTTGTCGGTTCAAATTCGACACTGGTCACACTGCTTATGCCGTTGGACAAAACACCTTATCCCTGTTTATCCTATCATCACCCAGGGGTATAAATGGGAACCTGCGTAGGAGGTGAATGATTCGGAATGAAAAATGGGTAGTGCTGACATATAGGGGATGAGGGGCAGGGATGGT